CACAAACCACTTCCTGTCCTCTTTCCACTTAAGTCACTGTGGTCTAGGGCTGGGGGCAGGGCTCCCTGAGGCTCGTGGTGGACATAACCACACATTTGTCTCCCTAGGGGTACCCTTGGGTGGAAGGTACATACTGATTGACCCAGCCCATCCCCATCTAGTGCTTTTCCCTGTTCTCCTTAGGTCCCTGGACACCCCCAGAGTCCATTCCCACCCGGGGAACTTCCTGTCACTATGTCCTTGGCCTAGAAGTAACACCCTGACCCCTGGCTCTCTTCCAGCCTCTGAGCAGTCCCCCCCCCCAGCCTTTCTGTTCACATCTAGCTCACCACCTGCCCCTGTTGTGGCCCTCGCTTTCTCCCACTGGACTTCTCAGAAGGGGGCCTATAGCCAAGACCGCAAGCACTGACTCTCCGCAAGCCAGGGACCCATTTCCACCAGGTCAGCCCCCACTCAGGGCAATCCCATAGCACAGGACAGAACTGGCCCCCCGCGTGTCCAAGGCCATAATCTTTATGGGTGCTAACCGCCACCTCGTTCTCCCATAGAGAGGCAGGTGGCTTCGAACCATGGACCTTTTGTTAGTAGTCAAATGTCTTAATCACAGCACCAACAGAGTGCCTCTGAGTCACAGAATCAATACAATTAGAACACAAGCCAATGAGAAGGTTGGTGGTTTGAATCCACCCCAGGGCTCCACAAACAAAAGGCCTGGTGGCCAGCTTCCACCACAGGCCATGGCCAAGACAAGTAGAGATCAGTTTTGCTGGGCCCCGAGTGGTCACCATGAGTCATGGCACCTGGCAGCAGCAGCGACCACATTCCAAGAAGAAAGAAAGAAATGAAATGAAACAGGTGAAAGTAAATTTAGCAATGCATTTTATTTGAGCCAAAATATTATTTCAGCATGCAGCCCACATCAAAAGCACTCATGAGATATTTTACACGTTTGGTAAGCAAATCTCTAAGCTATTCCATTTTACCCCCTTGGTCACACAGGCCACATCTCTAAGGGCCTGTGACCACATGGCATGTATGGGATGGTGCAGCACCGAGACCTGTCAGGTTCCCTGTCTTGTAGATGGACACAATGCCAGGGCCTGACCCAGAGGAGGACTCCCCAGTAATAATCAAAAGGGATGCATGGACAGACAGAAGGGTGGGTGGATGGATGATGAAGAGATAGGGCAACGGAGAGATGATGAATGATGAATAGATAAATGGAAGGATGGGTGGATGGATGACTGGACAGATGCATGATGGCTAGACAAATGGATGACTAGATGGATGGATAGATGAGTAGATGGGGGATGACTGGATAGGTGAATGGGTGATGACTAGATGGATGGAGGGATGGATGGATGGATGATTAGATGGAGAGATGAATGGATAGATGATTAGGTGAATGAAGTATTAAATGGTGGTAGATGGATATAGAGAGATAGGAGCATGACGGGGTGGGTGGGTGATGATGGACAGATGGGTGGGTTGATGGTTGGATGATTGCATGGAGAGATGGGTGAATGGATGGATGATGGGTGGACGAATGCTAGAGCGTTAGATGAATGGATGGAAAGGCAGGTGAATAATAGGTAAGTGGATTGGTGGGTCAGTGGATGGATGGTTGAATGCATAGGGGATTAATAAATAGATGAATAATGGACAAAAGGACGGAGCAATAGATGAGTGGGTATGATATGTATTGACTGGTGTCTCTGCAAATTACGGATTGTAAATTCTAACCTCTAAGCCTCTGGTGGCTCAGGTGGCCTAGTGGTAACCAGCTGCGTTGCAACCCCAAAGGCATGAAGTTCAAATCCACCAGCGGCTCCACAGGAGATCGATGGACAATCTCCTCCCGCGTGATTAGCTGCCTCTGAAGACCCAGAAGAGGGTGAGCTCTGGGTCCATTCCGACTCTATGGTACACACAACAACAAGAAGACTGTGGTTATAATCCTGTTTTGGAATGGATTCTCTTTGTTGCGTTAATGTAGAAAACTTAGAGTAGGGCATTCTTGAGTCACTTTCTTTTGAAATCTAAGAGAGATTAAGCAATACAGTAAAACAGAAATGAAAGAAAATGCCAAACTACTTCAAGAGCACATAGGAGCAGGAGTCCAAAGACACAAGGACCTTTCTCCAGAACCAACAGAGAGAAAGCCTTCCCTTAACATTGGCACCTTGAATTTAGACTTCTAATTTTTTTTAAATAGTGGGAAAATAAATTTCTGTTTGTTAAAGCCACCCCCTTGTGGTATTTCTGGTACAACAACACCAGGACAGGGTGGATGGCTCTGTGTGTGTGTGTGTGTGTGTGTGTGTGTGTGTGTGTGTGTGTGTGTGGTTGAATAAACAGGCGTGTGGATGTGTGATCCCTAATCCCCCTGCCCTAACAGACAGCACTAGACTTCCTAGTACTTACCCCCATCTTTCCCCACTCCCACATTCTGTGTTTCCCCCCAGATGCCCCTGAACCCCAGATCCATTATCTTGAGGTCCAGTGACCTCACTACTGCCTCTGCCCCTCCTGTCACTGGCTCAAATACAACTCTGGAATCTTCCAGTTCTTCCTGGCCTGGATTGCAGTATTCCACACTCCTTGTCGCCCCCACACCCCCAAATTGGGCACTGAATCTCCCCAAATGCCCTCTCCACTTACTTCAGGGATTCAACCAACCCCCCCCTCCGCCAGAACCCCATCACACTGGGAAAACTCATTCATTCCATCAACGTTTATTGAGCACCGGCTACGTACAGGGCCCTCTTCCAGGCCCTCGCCGAGAGAATAAGACTCCGAAAAAGCTGTGCCCAGGCGAGGTTGGCCATCTCAAGGGAAGACACACAGTCAACAGACAGGTATGCAGCATATTAAGGATGTCACATGGTGACACATGGTTTGAAGACAAGTAAGACAGGGGAGGGACGTGGAATGTTCACATACTGGCAGGAGAACAAACGGGGAAGTCGAGGAAGGCTTGTGAGGAGGGGACACTGGGCTGATTTGGGCAAAGTGGATTTGGGGAAGCATCTATGTATCTGGAGAAGAGCCAGCCAGCCAAGGGAAAGAGCAAGTGCAAAGGCCCTGAGGCACGGGCGACTCCAGCTCTGTAGGCCTCCCCTGCCCTTGTCCACCCAGAATAGCTTCCTTCAAGAAAACAAAAGAACACATTGCCTTCGAGTCCATCCCAATTCACAGGGACCCTGCAGGACAGAGCCGAACTGCTGGAGAGGCTGTACGTCTTTATGAAAGCACACTGCCTCATCTTTGTCCGTCAGGGCAGAGAGTGGATTTGAACAGCCAACCTTTTGGGTTAGCAGCTAAACGTTTGTTGTTTTATGGTTTTGTTTTTTGTTTGTTTTGGTGTTGGTGTGCCGCCGAATCAGATCTGACTGGCACAGGAGGAGATTGCCCCTCCTTCTTCAGCAAAGCATCTCGTGGATCCAGCTGCTAAACTCTTGAACCACCACACTACCAGGACCTCTCCTTGGATGTCAACGGTTAGATTCTCATTGGGTCTTTCCAAGCTTCTTAGCCCGTCCTCCTCCAGGTCACCCTCAGGGGCATGGGCTCCTCCCTCCCCTTCCTCCCCTCCTCCTTTCTGCCTTTCCTCCCCTGCAGAGCTTGAAGTTTCAGGTTCTCACGCGGAGGGGGTCTTGGTGACAGGGTTCTGGGGAGGTCTGCGTGGGAGGGACAGGACAAGGCCAGCAGAGCCAGGAACAAAAGGTTCTTGAAGGCAGAAGAAAGGGATGCCTGAGAGCCAGGGGGCATGCATTTCCCAGCCCCTCACCCCCCTCCGCCTCCCACCTGACATCAGAGTCCCAGGAAAGCCAACTCTCTCGCCCTCTCACCTGGCTAGTGAAGGAGCCCTTTACCCAGATGGAAACATTGAGGCTAATTCTGAAAATAGCAGAGGCGGAATTGGAATGCACAGTGTGCTCCCCACCGCTGTCTCACCTTCTGGAGGCAGGTTTGGAGGACCCACAGAGAGGGTGAAAGGCCCCGGGATGCCCTCCACCCACCTGAGGGGTAAATGCTGTGTGACCTTGGGCAGGCCACCCTACCTCTCTGAGCCTCCTTGCTGAATGGGAAGGTCGGTCTGACGTTCCCCCGGCAGACGCCAGAACACACGTCGCAACTGGTCAGAAAATAAAACTTTTAAGTGGTGTTATTTTCATCATGATTCATGCGACCCACATTTCTCACTGGCATCACTGAGGGAATGGAGGAGACATTTCTAGAAAGATCTCACCACCTGTTGATGGTGGTGACTCCCGTGGGGGTGGGAGGGGGCGGGAGGGGAGGGCTACAAGGATCCTTCTGTGGAGATCTTCTCTCTGCAAACAAGACACAGGTATTTCTTTTGTCTGATAGTAGTAATTAGGATAATAGGCCATTTCTGGCACCGGGGCTGGGCTTTCTGGCCAGACTTCAGGTTTTTGTGAGGGTCAGGAGAACAGTGCTGGGGCGTGCCATGCTTGGGGGGGGGGGAGAGCCAATGCATGCCTTGTGCCAGGGATTCTACCAATCACCTATACAAAGTCCAATCCTCACAGTTGCCCAGTCAGTGTATGTAAAAGGGGGAAACTGAGGCACAAAAGAGGTGGTGAGATCCGCTCCAGGCCCCACAGCTGGGAAGTGGCGGAGTTGGGTCTCGAACCAGTGGCTGTGACCTTGAAAGGCCCACCCACGGCCTTCTTAGAGCTTAGTTATGACTTCTCTGTGTCTCTCTGTCCATCTCTGTGTATTTAGGTCGTTTTTCGCTATCTCCGAGGCTCCCTTGATCTCCCAGTCTGTCTCTCTATGTGTGCGTGTCTCTGACCTTTGCGTGTCGCTGTCTATCTCTGGCTGTGTCTCTGTCTCTCCCTCCCTCTGTCTCTGTGCGCGCCCTTGGTGGTGTGGGCCCGGGAAGGCAGAGTTTCTGTCTGTCTTGTCGGCGCACTTGGACCGGCGCAAGGCACAGTGGCACCGGACACATAGTTCTTGAATGAGCAAAAGGAATGAATGAAGGCCGGCGCTGGCGAATGAATGGGCTCCGAGGTGGGTGGGGAGCCGCCTTCGGCGGAGCGCACGGGCTGGGGGCGGCGGGCGCGCACCGCCTGGCTGCGCTCCTGCCTCCTGCCCCGCCGCGCACGCTGCGCTCAGGGCGCCCAGGCCCGTCCCCACTGCTCCCGCCCGCGGAGAAGGGTGACTCCCTCCCGGCCTCGCCCCGCGGTCGGAGGCGTGGGTAGCAGCTGGGAGAACCGGCTGGATGCTGCCCCTCCCCTGGGGCGGGCACGGAGGTAGGCACCTGACGGGGCTCCCCGGGTGGCAGACGCTGCCGCTGCGCACACCTGGCCCCCGTGCCGCCTGCTCCCTGCGAGTCCTCCCCTCCCCGCCCTCGCCCGCCTGCCCGCCATGGACGGGCCCGCTGAACCCCGGATCCCAGGCTCGTGGGACAACTACAACGAAGGCTTCTCGAAGATCAGGTGAGACTCACACCTGGGCGCGAGCCAGGGACCCCCTCCCTCGCGCCCTGACCCGGAGTGCGCCCCGGGCCCTGGGCCAAGCAAGCCAGCAGCCCTCCATGGTCAGGTCAGGAGGCTCCGCCTGCGCTCCACTGGGCTGCCTATAGCGCCTGGGGTGCAAGTCCAGCTTGTGAGAGAGTGAGGGACTCGCTATGCTGAGTCACCAGCTGGGCTGCCTGGGGTATATCTGTCCCTCTTGGGGCCTCAGTTTCTCCATCTGTTAAAAGGAACAAGCCCTTTGTCTCTCTGACCCAGGACTTGAGGGAATCAGGAATTGGGTGCTTAATAGTTGCTTAGGAAACAGGGGATCTGTGGAACCCCATTTTCTCCTCTGTGCAGAGAAAGTCCTCAAGTTGGGGTGCTCTTTATCGTGGGTTCTCGGAATGTGTCACCTGCTTCTTCTAGGGAGCATAATGGGCAGAGGAGGTGAGGTTGGGGGTGCAACCAAGAGTCTCGGGGTGAGCCTGTACCCAAAGGGGTGAGGAGATAGGGACTCCCTCACCTGAGAGGCCTCATCATTGGCCCACATTGTCAGGACAGAGTCATACCCAGTTTGGGAGCAGGCTCTGTCCACAGCTGTGAAGCCTAAGTTGGTGGCAATCGGTCAGATACTTTCACCATACCCACGTTGCAGATAGGGAAATTGAGGCTGAAAGGGAAAGTGACGAGATGCAATCTCACAGCCCAAAGCCTCCAGGTGTGCTCTTCTCAACAGCCTTGGAGAGACCCTCCCTGTTCCTCCACTGTCTCCACTTTTCAGATGAGCAAGCATTGGCTCAGAGAAGGCAGGTGACCTGCCCAAGATCACACCGCAATCTCGCCAACCCTCACTGCTCCCATTCAGCTGGGCATGCCAACCCCTGCCTCCCCTTCAGGGTCATTCAGGTCACCCCAGGCCAGGAGGACAGCTCAGCCCTGTCTCTGGCCCCATTGCTTTACGTCCCCCCTGTCTTCTGAGGCCTTTTCAGGCCCAGGATTCTGGACGGAAATAGAGAGGTCTACCTGTAGCCTGTTAAATCCTGATGGCTGTGTGACCCAGGCCAGCCTCTCAGTGTCTCTGAGCTCTGGGACTGAGTGGCCACCAGGGTGGCCCCACCCTTATGTGAGTCAGGTTCTGGCATGTTCTTCTTCTGGATGGACCAGAAGTTTCCAATTTTTTTTTCCTCTGGAGAGAAACCCGCTGCCGTCTTGATTCTCATCTTTGAGAAGGTCTCACCTCCACCCAGTACCTGGGCACATCCTTTTTCTCTGCACCCTGTTGCCTCTGTGGGTGACCTTGGTAAAGTCATTTGCCCTCTCTGAGCCTCAGTTTCCTCTTCTGAAACATGGGGAAGAACCCTCACCTCTAAGACACCCTCAGGTTGGAATGTTCCAGATTCCCCTGGATCGAAGGTCCCTATAGAACCTCAAACTTCCTTTTTCTATGAGCTTCTAGAATCCCCAAGACTTCTGTCTCCTGCTGGGTGGATCCCCCTTCCATGACACCGTTCCCCACTGGCTCTAAATCCTTCCTTCTCTGGGACTCCTCTCAGCTCCCCAGGCACTGTCCTTATCCCTTCTCACCCCTCCCCACTCCATAGTTCATCCAAGACTCATCCCTCTTGCCCCCTAATTCTCTCTGTCTTACCCCCTCTCTGCCCACTGAACCCCACTTACTCGCCAGTCTCCCCTCCCCCAGCCCACTCTTTGGAGACTCCCAGCACCCTCAGTTCAGCTTCCAGTGTGTTGATGCGCTGGTACCACCCACCCCACGGCCAACCTCCCTCCTCCCTGCATTCCATTCCCCACCCCGCACCTGCCACCGTGGCTTCCAATGCCTTCCCACGCCTTGCTCTTCCCTGCCCCGGTGCCTTTGCACATCCATGCCCTCTACAAGGAGGTCTTTTCTCATCCACTTTCTGGTCATCTCCAGCTCATATGCCTTCTGTGGCTCCCCAGGGCCCACAACAAAACCTTTTTGAAGACAGCTTGGGACACTTTGGTCCAGGAGGAATGGTATTCCCAAGGAGAAATCAACAGAGCTGTTCTGGGTGAAGAAAAAGGAGTAGACCCGGGATCTCTGCCCTCTATGCTCACCTCCTCACACCCCAGCCTCCTCCACTCCCATAGTCCACGCCTTGCCCCACCTGGTTGCCTCCCCACCCACCGCCAAGTACCCACCAGCGGGCCTTGGCACACATGTCCTCCTGAGCCTGGTGACCTCTGCCCTCTTCTGCCTCTAAGATCAATCCTTCTCCTGCCTTTGAGAGTCTACTGTGAGGTCCTACTCTGAGCAGGGGGCAGGAAGGAACTTCCAACACACGTCTTGGCGGGCGCTCCCCCTCCAATCCCCCAACCCCCACCCCTGAAAAACACCCAGATTCTGGACCTTTCTGAGACAATATCATGATAAGAAGCGTCACGGGCTCGTGGACCTAAGACATCTCTGGGAATGACGTGAAGCAATGAATGGGGTGAGGTTGGGTAACCATTTAGGATGAGTCAGGGCTGTGAGGCACGTGGGAGGGAAGAACTTGCTAGAAGAGGAAGTGGCGGGTCACAGGGACCCGAGCTGGTTGAAGGACGGGAAGCTGGGTTGTCTACAGCCCAATTAATTTTTTTTTTTATTCCTTCCAAGTAAGAAACCCAATGAAATCTATTTAGTTCTGGAATATGAGTGTATGTGGTGGGGAGAGAGGGACACACTTATTTTTAAGAGCATAAGGGAATGCCAAGAATTTAATTCGGGATAGCGGTTGGGGGAGGAGGCAGACCAGACAGGGAAGGCATCCAGAGATACCACGCCCACCAGACACGTAGACATGATGCTTGGTAACTTGTTTGTGTCACACCGATTAAGGAGAAGGAGAAAGGCAAAAAAAATGGGAACCTTCAACGGAAGCACATTAAGACGTGGGAGCAGGCAGGGAAAAGGCGGTGGGGTCCGGGTTAGAGTTGGCAGCGTCCCTGAAGCAGATGGACCCCCCCCCAGAGGAGTTGTCATCGACGAATCTGGGTGCCCCGTGAGCGTCAGCGTAACGCTCGGCTTCACTGGCCTTTTTTGAGGATTGCTTTAAGAGAGGAGATCACCAGGCTTTAATTCATAGGTGCGTCAGCAAGGACTCGAACCATCAGTCCTTCAGGCAGCAGCCTGGTGTGTCCATCATTTGCTGATTCCTCTAAGCCCGTTGGTGTCGAGTTGATTCCTGCTTATGCTGACCATAAAGGTGTCATGTAGGATTTCTTGGCTGTGGTCTTTAGGGACACAGGCTGCCAGGACTTTCTTCCGTCTGTCTCTGGATGAGTTGCAACCTTTTAGGTTTCTGGTTGAGTTTAAACCACTGGAGAACTCTAATCTCTCTTCTTCTTCTTCTTCTTCTTCTTCTTCTTCTTCTTCTTCTTCTTCTTCTTCTTCTTCTTCTTCTTCT